ATCTCCTCTAAGGCCATGGGCATCATGAACTCCTTCGTCAACGACATCTTCGAGCGCATCGCCGGCGAGGCGTCTCGCCTGGCGCACTACAACAAGCGCTCCACCATCACGTCGCGGGAGATCCAGACGGCCGTGCGGCTGCTGCTGCCCGGCGAGCTGGCCAAGCACGCCGTCTCCGAGGGCACCAAGGCTGTCACCAAGTACACCAGCTCCAAGTAAATACCTGCTCAAAATACTGTTTAACCCAAAGGCTCTTTTAAGAGCCACCCAAATTTTCAGTAAAAAGAGCTTTAATTTCTGTAATTTCTTTGCAGTTTTACTTGAAGCGTACTATTTAGTTTGCTCAGTTGGCAACGTTCAGTTTAGCGATTTAAATAGTTCAGTGTTAACAAAAACTAGAAAGCCTATTAGCAGTTTTCACGCTTGTATCTTGAGTGCTCTCTCTGGCAGGGTTTACCTGTTGTACATGGACTGCTTCAGTTGCCAGCTCTCTGGGTACCCCAGCTGTGCCATCCACATCCTGCTTGCTGTTAATTTGGTTTCTCCCCGGCTCTTTTTTAGGTCCTATAGTTAGTTGATCTTCCCAATCTGAGGAAACGAGGTCTTTTAAGTATATGTCTTAAATGATTACTTAAACTGTTTGCTAGTATTTCGTTTTATTATTCTAAAGATCCCACTAATAGTTTAATGTCTTCAGAACAGAATTGCATTCATTTAAATGATTTCTTAGCCCCTGCTGCTCCCTTACGGAAGTTTTTGAAACTTCTGTTACTTCACGTATTGCAGTATCGGGCCCTCGGAAATACACGAAAAACTGCAACTACTGATGTAAAAACTGTTTCCAAAGGATACTATACAAGTGGGACTTGAAAGACCTAGAAAGACATAGGGGTCCGAAAAGTTAAAACTGACAGAAAAGACAAGTGAGTAATCTGGAAATGAAAGAATTGGTGGCTCTAAAAAGAGCCACAGCCCTTCCCCAGCATCCAGGCAGACCAAAAGGCTGTTTTAAGAGCCACTGAGTGCACAATGAAAAGACCTGTAGTGCTGCTTTCAAAGAACCAGGGTTATGTAATATTTTGTAGACTTCAAGGTTTTACTTTTTTTTTTTTTTTTAGTGTCTCATTTTACTGAGCATCCTGCTCGTAGACAGTTACCTTTTATAAACCATGTAAAGCTCTAAATTTTCTTTGCAATTCGTCTGCAGTCCTTTGCAACTACTGGAGGGGAGTAAAAGGTGCGAGCACCAGGTGGGGAAGGGAGACAACATCGAAGACGAAATGTGAGGTTAATATATTCGTTTAAGAGGGGCAAGCAGAGGGCCTCAGAATGGAGGAATTTACATCCCTGTGACTGGCTGACTCGACACACCCTCGAGGGAGAAGACGTGGAGGTGATTACCAAATAGACACTCTGCACTTTTAAATCTTTGGCTGTGTCAAGAAAAAACTGCAACAGGAAAATTACTTACAAAGATAGTTTAAAAAGCTTTACTTGGGCATATGCTTTAATAAGATCATGCAGTGGCTCTCACACATATTATCGTCCTCAGACTACTATATGGACATTTGCTCGCTCGGACCTGCCCCTTCTCTACATCCACAGTAATTCTACAATGGTTTTCATAAGCAATACAGCTCTTTTTATTGTGCACGTAGGGGCTCTTAAAAGAGCCTTTGGGTCTGTGTGGGCTGCCTCCGAGCCTTGCCAGAGAAGGGCTGCGGCAGGAGACTTAAGCACGCTCTCCGCGGATGCGGCGGGCGAGCTGGATGTCCTTGGGCATGATGGTGACGCGCTTGGCGTGGATGGCGCATAGGTTGGTGTCCTCGAAGAGCCCCACCAGGTAGGCCTCGCTGGCCTCCTGCAGAGCCATGACGGCCGAGCTCTGGAAGCGCAGGTCGGTCTTGAAGTCCTGCGCGATCTCGCGCACCAGGCGCTGGAAGGGCAGCTTGCGGATCAGCAGCTCCGTCGACTTCTGGTAGCGCCGGATCTCGCGCAGCGCCACCGTGCCGGGCCTGTAGCGGTGCGGCTTCTTCACGCCGCCCGTGGCGGGCGCGCTCTTGCGGGCCGCCTTGGTGGCCAGCTGCTTGCGGGGCGCCTTCCCGCCCGTCGACTTACGCGCCGTCTGCTTCGTACGCGCCATCGCTCCGCAAACACAAACCCGACCGCACTCTCCACCAGGCACACTGCGGCCCCCGCGCCGCTGCCGCCCTATTTATAGCCGCAGCTCCCTGCCCATTGGCCGCCGCGCCACACCGCCCGGCTGCCATTGGACCGTTCGCGAGAGCCCGGGAAGAGCGCGCGCCTCTCGCGCGGGGAGCCCGCCCCGCCCCGCCCCCGCCCCTTCCCCACCGCCGCCGGCCCGGCCCGGCCCGACCTCCCCCGCCCGCCGCGGCCCCGCCGCCCGCTCCTTGCCGGCGCTCTGTAACGCTTTAGCGCCTGCTCCCGCCGCCACCAACGGCCGTTTGGAAGGCACAGGGGTGGCGGCAACCACCCCTGGCCAGTACCGGAAAAAAGGCTCGCCGCTCACGCACGCCTCGCGCTCGGCCTCTTCCAAACCCGCTGCCCCTCTCGCCCGCCCCCGGCGTCGGGACCGCTGGTAAAGCTCCCGTCGGGGACCGCCTTCTCGCTCGTGAGGGTTCGCCGTTTCTTCCCGCTCAGTAGCCGCCCTGGGTTCGGGGCCGCGGCAGAAGGGCCGAAGGCGCGGGTGGCAGCCGACCGTTCGCGCCAGCCCAACCTTTCCTGGCTGCTCCCCCTCCAGGGTTCAAGCTGCGGTTCTCTTGCGGCGAGCGCGGCCTGGGCGAGCGAGGAAGGGCCACGAGCGCCCCCAATCGCCGCGCCCTCGGGAGCCGCGTCGACCCCGCTCGCGGGGAAGCGCCGCGCAGTCCTCACCCAGGTCCGACCGAACCCGGCGGCCGCGCGACTCCGGCTCTACCCGACCGGCCCCGGCGGCAGCGGCGGGATTGACGGGTCGCGGGGCGGTGGAGGGAGAAGCGGGAGGCCCCGGAGAAGAGCCATGCGGGGTAGCCAGTGCTCACCGCCACGGCCGGGGCTGCCGCAGCTCAGGGGCCACAGCGCCGAGAAGGGTTGCGCTTTCCTTCACCCTGCCGTTCTCGAGACCGTGCATTGGTTTCGGTAGGGGACGCGCCTCAATCCCGAGCTCTTTCTCAAAAACTAAAGAACCGAAAAACAACCTCCTCGGCTCTAACTACCTAAGCTTTTGATGTACCCGATGCACACGCCCTCCCGCCTGCGTACCTCACGAAGAAACACCACATACCCGCTTTTCGTGATGTGTTTGTTTGGAGCATTTTATGACACCGAAACAGCACTTGTTTATTATTTGACCCGCCGCTCCCAAACCGTACACCAAAATAAAGTGAGCTCCCTCAGTATTATAAGCAATTCACGAGCATTTTCTGCTCCACGAAGGCCCTGCTTTCCTTACACTTTTACACTGTTTTCATTCCGCTACTACTACCCTTTTCCCGGGAAAAAAACTTGGGCCAGTAAACAACAAAAGGCAACAGCATCAGCTCTTTTATTGAAAACTTGGGTGGCTCTTAAAAGAGCCTTTGGGCTAAACACTATTTCGAGTAGGTTTTTACTTGGAGCTGGTGTACTTGGTGACAGCCTTGGTGCCCTCGGAGACGGCGTGCTTGGCCAGCTCGCCGGGCAGCAGCAGCCGCACGGCCGTCTGGATCTCGCGCGACGTGATGGTGGAGCGCTTGTTGTAGTGCGCCAGGCGAGACGCCTCGCCGGCGATGCGCTCGAAGATGTCGTTGACGAAGGAGTTCATGATGCCCATGGCCTTAGAGGAGATGCCCGTGTCGGGGTGCACCTGCTTCAGCACCTTGTACACGTAGATGGAATAGCTCTCCTTGCGGCTCTTCTTGCGCTTCTTGT